AAAAAAAATGGGAAAAGGGGAAGTTTTTTTGGGGGGGAGCGGCCCCCCGCAGGCAGGGGACTCGGTGCCAGGGTCCCCGTCCCCCCCGCCCGCCCCCAGCGGCAGCCTTCGCCACCAAAAATAAGCATTATGTCACCGCGGAGCCGGCGCGGCCTGCAAAACAAGCGGCGCGCCGAGGGGCCCGCGCCGTTGCCGTGGCGACCGCATGGAGGTTTTAGCAAAAAAAAAAAGAAAAAAAAGAAAATCCCCCCAAAGGGGCGTCCGCCCCGTTAGCCCCTCCGCGGTGCCCCCCACACCTCAGCCACCCCCCCGGCCCCCCAACGTGGGCACAGGGACGCAAGGAGTGAAGCCACTGGGGCAGAATATTTTTGAATGTTTTTTCCTTCTTTTTTAATCTCTTTTTTTTTTTTTTTTTGCCTTTTTTTGATTGTTTGGGTTTGTGGGTTTTTTTGTTTTTCTTTTTTTCCTTCTTCTCTCTTCCTCTTCCTCCCGCCCCGGCCCCGGGCGCCGCCGGCGTCAAAACTGGACGGCGCCGGGGGAGATGTTGAACATGGCGGGGTCGAACTTCTGCCCGCGGAACGGCGAGCCCTCGGTGTCCCAGCCCTTCTTGAGCATCTCGTGCACCTTCTGCAAGGAGGCGAGAGGAGCCGCTCGCTGTCACCCCAAACCCTGGTGGCCCCGCACCCCGCTGTCGCCCTCCCGCCCCCGCTGTGTCCACGGAGATGCCAGCGCCCCCCGGTCCCGCTGTTGTCCCCCGTGTTGTCACCCGTGGTGACCCACGAGTGACGCGTGGCGAAGGGCACCCCGCTGGGGAAGGTGGCTCCGTGTCACCCCGCTCCATGGGGACACGGCGGCTCCCATCCCGGCGGCAACAAGGCGCCAAGGAGGAGCGGACGCCCCGGCGCATCCCGAAGCCGGAGGCGCCGGGGTCCGGCGAGGGGACACCCACCAGCTCGTGGCTCTGCGGCTTGCCCTGCAGCTTCTGGTGGTAGTCGAAGGTGAGGCGGTCGAGCACGGCGTGCTCCTCCTCGTCCACCGTGGCCATGGAGCGCTCCTTGTTGATCTTGTCGATGTCGATGCGCTCCTCGCCCTCCAGCACCGCGCTCCACCAGTACTCGTCCCCCTTGCTCAGGCTGATCTGGGGACAGTGCCGGCGGCCGCGTCAGGGCACGGGGGGCACGGGGCCCTCCCGTCCCGCTCACCCGCAGCCCCGGCGCTTCCCGGACCTCCCGACGGCTTCTCCCACCTTTCCGGAGGGACAATTCGGATCCGCAGGAGGGGCTGTGGGCAGCAGGAGGGGGTGGCTGGGGATTAATCCCGCTGGGAGAGCGAAGTTGGGAATATCTTCCCGCTTGGGGAACGCGTTAGGTGCGCCCAGCCTGACGGGCTGCTTCCTTCTCCTTGGAGGAGCTTTTCCAACGGAAAGCAAATGGCTCCGGATTAGCGAGGGGCTCCCTCGAGCAGGGGCAGCTGGGCGGGACCCCGGCCGGCGGCCGCGCTCCCAACGCCGCCGTGGGGGTCCCCGTGTCCCCGGGGAGCTGGGGACACCAGGGAGCAGGAGGCAGCAAGGGCAGCTCCAGACAGGACGTGGCGGCAGCACAACCCGAGCGGGGACAGCAAATGCTGGGAGAGGAGAAGGGGAAACGGGGAAAAAAAAGCCCTCAAGCAGGAGAACACTCCCCGAGCGTGTTGTGCACAACACCCGGCGGCGCCTTCTAAAACGGGCTCCCGCGGAGCTATTTTCGGCCCGTTCCCGGCGAGCGAGCGGGCGCTCGGCGGACGGGAGCGCCGGGGCCGAGCGCCGGGGCCCTGGGCACGCGGGGCCCCCGGGCACACGGAGCCCGGCGCCCGGAGGGGCTTTCCAGGGAGGAGATGATGGGGAGAGCTCCATGAGCATCTTCCTGAAGGGCTTCCCTTGCGGAAGGGACCCGAAAGGGGAAGGCCACGGGTTCATCCCAGAGCATCCAAGGTGCCCCAAGCAGCGTCACGTCCCAGGAACGTTGGGATCTCCTTGGGTGGCTCCACATGCAAGTCCAGTCTTGACACGTCCCCAATGCCAATGGAGATGTCTTCTCCTTGCTCCCAGGGGACAGAAGTTGGGACCTCGCCCCGGTTCCCGACTGCCACGTGGGAATTCTGGCAAGGGGAAGGGTCCATCCATCCATCCATCCACATCCACTGTGGTTCCCAGTGCTCAAACGGGCCCGGGACAACTCCCATGGGAATGCCGAGGCTCGGCGCTTCATTAACAAGCGGCCGGGCGCCTGCTGCTGAATGAGCCGCGAGCATCCGGAGCCGCTTCCGGCTACTCTGCGCACGGGAGAAGGAGACGCTCTCGGGTGAGAATTACTCACTGTGCTCCAGTTACCTTACAATTCTTCAAGTGAAACTTCATCCCACCACCAATATGTTGGCAGCCAGCTGGAGATCCTCACAACCCTGCGCTCGTGCTAATTTGAGGCAGGCAGGAGCCGGCTCCGCTTGGAGACGACGGGATGACTCCCGCTGCCGCCCGGAAGGCCCCGGGGCCCGCTCGCCCCGCACGCGCTTCCCAACCTCCTCCCGTGTTGGGTGTTTAACAAAGGTCATCTCCTTTGCTGCTCCCGGGAATGCGCTCCCAGCCCTGGCCCTTTGGGGTGGCTCCTCTTGGGCAGCTCCGCTCCTCTCCAGGTTAAGTTTCTCCTTTATCAGCTAAGGTCCAAAAATCTTCAGGAGGCCTCAAAAATGCAAGCTGATGACGTCATGGCTCCTCCTTCCCGGCTCTCTCCGTGATCCACTGGCTTCGGAGAAGCTCTTTAGCAGCAACCTCACCAGGTCATTTGTGCAGGGCTATGTCCCAGGTTAGGTCCGTACCCACACGGATGGCCGGACAAAGCATCTCCACACGCAACCCTTGGGATTTCAGCATCCAGCAGGAAATTCCCACTCAATTGCCCCCTGCAGGGCTCGGCTTTGGGCATCCCTCTGCTGCCCCGTGACAACTCCAACGGGTAGGGGACAAGCCTGGGGACACGGGCCGCAAGCCTGGGCTGCCAGCACACACCAGCAAGGGGATAAGGAAGCCGGGAATGAGCCAGACACGGAGAGCCCTTGGGACACCTCGACCGGGAAGCAAGGGGAGACCGAGCGGGACACAGCATGGGGGAAAGAGAGCGCGGGGCACGTCCCGCTCCGGCCGCAGCTCCCAGCTTTCCGCGTGCAGGCCGGAGCAGCCGCGGGCGCCGCGCGGGAAGCCCCGGCGGAGCAGCCGTCCCCTTACCAAAACGCACTTGCCCGGCTCCAGGCTCCAGAGGGAACTCTCCGTGTTGATCTTGTGCGTGAGCTTGCCCTCCATGAGCACGCGCTGGCTGCCGCCCTCGAGCACGGCGACGCGGATGGCGCCGCTGCCGATATCCACGGCCACCTGCGGAAGCACACGGAGGAGGAGGAAGGTCGAGAGCACTCGCCGGCGACGAGAGCGGGACGAGAGCTCTCGGCTCGGCGGGCAGGGATCGCCGGCGGCGGCAGCCTGCGGGGCCATGCCCGCCGCTCCGCGAGACGTTATTGCAGTGGCCATTGCCTAGGAGATGGCCGTGACTCACTAGCTCCGCGCAGGCGAGACACGGAGCTGCCCGCCCGCTTCGCGGGCCCGCCGCGGAGGAGGCCCCGAGCCCGCATCCGGAGGGGCTTCCTCCGGGCACGGAGCGGGGCCGGCTCCATGGAGCCCTCGGATGCGGCGAGGACCCAACCCGAGACGCGCTTGGTCCCGAGGGAGGTGCAGGGATCCCTCCAAGGGAGCTCCGGGAAGCGCGAGGCGTGTCGGGAAGCGCCGGCTGCGGCCACGCAATGCCGGCCGAGAGGAATGCTGCTGCAAGGCGGGATGCCATTCGGGATGCTGAGGAGGAGGCGGCCGCCAAGACGCCAGGCAGAGGGGAGCGGTGGTAACCACGCACAGCAAACGTGGCCCCCAGCATCCCCGACGGTCCCGGCGGGATGTGAAGGCGGGACGGCAGGGAAAGGGCTGGAGAGGCCGCCGAGGAGGGAGGCAGCCAAACAGGGCAGCCCTGCGCAGCGCCATCCACACGGCCCTGCCGTGTCCCCCTCTTCCCGTGTCCCCCTTCCCGCGTCCGCCGGGCTCCGGAGCTGGCACCAAGGGAGCTGGGATGGCGGCAAACGGCCCTCGAGGTGACACGGGGCGCAGCTCCTCAGAGCCAGCGTGCCAAGGGGGGCCGCTGGCACCATCCCTATGGAAGCGCCCCGGGCTCCCACGTCCCTCCGGGCGCCCCTCTTGCAGGCAAGAGCCTGGATTTCCCGGAGCCCCCCCGGCAGAGCGGCCGCTCGCGGTCCCGCCGCGGTGCCCGCAGCAGCCGCTCGCTCCGGCACCCCTCCGGGCCGGGCGGCTGCTGCCAACCGCCCTCTTTCTTGGCACGCGCGGGAGCTGCGTGGGCTGCAGCCAGGGAACAAACCCGAGCGCGCTCGTTTGCACCGAGGGGACCGGGAGAGAGCGCGCGCTTCCCAAATGGAAAAATACAGGAGCCACCGGGGGGCCTTGTGGGAGCAGGGAGGCAGGTGAAGTCTCACGCGGCAGCAGGGCAGCTCCAATCCTCCCAACTGCTGCAGGTGCAAAGGAAAGGCAAGAGATGCTCCAAGGCAGAGCAGATTCCCAAACTATCCTCTTCCAGACCCTTAGATAACTGGGGAAGGAGTCGGCTATTCCCAAACTTCCCTCCTCAAGCCACTTGGATAACTGGGGATAACTCGGATAACTAGCCATGCCCGAACTATCTTCCCCCAGCAGCTCCAGGCTGCCTCCTGCTCCGAGCAGCTTCCCAGGACAGCTGGGAAGTTCCTCAGGAGGGAAAACGGGACGCTGGAAGCCAAACCCTGCTGGCCCGTTTACCTGTTTGCCTTTTACGATGTGCTTGGGCACTGGCACTTTAATCTCCAGGTCGCTGTAGTCCTGGGACCAGGCGTAATTCTCGCGCACGGCTCCGTTGTAGCTGTCGGGATTGGTCTGGAACTGCTCCTGTCTCCTGGGAGGAAGGAAAGGAGCGAGGTGTTAACGGGGCCGGCACGGGGAGCAAGAGGGGAGGACACGGGGAGCGGGCAGAGCTGGCCCGGGAGCATCCCCAAGGTTAACGCACGGGGTTTATTAGCACTGATGGAGACGGCACCGGGGACGGCGGCAGGACAAGGGACCCGTCCGGGGATCTCGTCTCGTTCCCGACACCCCCGGGGGGTCCAGGCTGGCGGGGCCGCTTCCCACAGCGCTCAGCCCCACGTAGGACCCCCCGCTCTCAACTCAAGGCGGCTCCGCTCCCTTCGGAGGGGGGTTGCGGAGGGCTCCGATTTTAGCCGCGACTCATTGGATTATTTTTAACTTTTTGCCTTTTTTTTTTCCCCTTTCTTTCTCGTTTCCCCCCGCCCGCCCCATCCCGAAACGCTGCCCCGGCCGGGCCGTCGCCCATTGGGTGCGCATTGCCATGGCGATGGGGTTGGCATGGCAGCAGGGAACCGGCGCTCGCACCGGTTGGCTCCAGCTGGCGCTTCCCAAACCGCCCCCGGATTGTAGGAGGCGAGCGGGGCTGCGGGGCGAGCGCCGGGGCCGCCTTTTCCGATGCCTTTTCCCCCCCCATTCCCGGCGCAGCGGTGCCAGGGCCCCGCGGGGCTGGCGCCGTGCCCGGGGAGGAGGCACAAACCCATCTCCATCAGGACCCGTCTCCCCACACAGGTAGCGGGTGATGGCCAAAAGTCCAAAAATCCCGGTGTTTTCCCTTTTCTCCCACCTAGGACACTAAAATTGCCGCCGGCTCCTTCCCCTTTGGTTGCGGCACCTCCCGCTGCCCAAGCACCTTTGAGCCCCAAGCTCAGATGAGCTGGAGAGGCTCTGGGTTTAGCTCGGGATGTGGAGCTGGGAGCGCTCGGAAGGAGGTGACGGATCCATCCCTCAACACCAGGCCAAGGGGAAGGGCTCCGGGAGAGCCCTGCCGAAGTGGGACCAGCAGAAGGACCACGGGCCGGCGATTCGGAGCCAGCGGCTCCTCCGGCTGCTCCTCCTTCCAGGCGCTTCTGGAGGTCACGCAGGGACTCGGCACTGGGATGTGCCGCTCGGCTCTTCCCTTTCCTCACAAATAGAGAGGAGACACTCCAGAAAGAAAGCACAGCCCCTCTGGAATTGCATCAAGGGGACACTCCGCGACAACCCCGGCCAAGCTCTTTGCTCGCCCTGTTGCAAACCGCCAGCTCCCGGAGAGGGAAGCCAAGGCGGGGAGGTGTGTGCGAGCACAACCAACCCCGCGCAGGTTTAACATCCCGCTCCGGAGCCGCGGGACGCTCGGCACGTCGGCCACACTGCCCCGGCCTCAGCCCCGTTACAGCTCCGCCGCCTGCCGAGTTGCTCCTGCCTCTCCCGGAGCCTTTCCCTGAATCTCGCCCGCTCCGCCCGGCCGCGCTCGGATGCAGCTTCCCAGCCGGGGCAAAGGGAGAGGCCGGCGGGCGCGAGCGCGACTCCCGGGCCGCACGGAAGAGCGTCGGCTCTGCGCAATGGAGGCGCTGGCAGCGCCCGCGCCCGGCTGCCGGCGGCGGGGGGCGGCTCTGTGTGCTCTGCCTTGTTCTATTTTCTGCTCCCAATGTGTCATTTTGGGGGAGGTGAAATCTTGAACAATGCAGCGGCGCCAAGCAGCCCGGCCGGGGGGTTTCTTTGCTCTTCCGTGCTCACCGGAGCAGCTTCCTCGCGCCCTCGAGCCCTGCAGCGCGGGGCGACCCGCCCGTTTGCTCCGGATTCCTCTCCGTTACTTCCCGACGTGCGACTCCGGAATGATCCCGTCCGCTGAGGCGCTTCCGCGGCCGCTCGTCCGAGCGCATCGCCCTTCTCAGCAGCCAGGGCTTCGGCCGCCGCGCTGCGACACCGACCCCGAACAAGAAGCGGGAGGACTGGGTTTACCGGGAAGCCGGGCAGCTCCTAGAGCTCCTCTTGGCCAAGGATTTGCCCTGCAAGAACACAAGAGCTGAGCAGTACCCAGGCTCAGACACCCGTCCATCCGTCTGTCCGTCAGCGTGTGCTGTGGGAAGGTGTCGGGATGAATCCCAGCCCAAGGCGACTTTTTTTACTACAGGAGGTTTCCAGTGTGGAAACCCTTGGGCAGCCCGGAGCGCCTCCGCTTCCAGGTGCAGGATCTCCACTTGGAGCCCTCCGAGCCGGCATCGGGAGCTGGAAATTCCCTGGGCATGCAGGAAAGAGCTGGATCTTTCCTGAGCAGGTTTCTGCTCTTCTTCTCTTCCTTTCTCTTCTTCTTCTTTTCTTCCTTTCTCTCCTCTCTTGAGAAGAGACGGCTGAGAGGGCATCTGATTAACACGTACAAGGTCTGAGAGGTCCTGAGACCTTGGGGTCTCCTCCAGCCATATCCAATGAGGGTGTCCATGAGCTGGTGGGGGAGAAGGTCCCATCTGTATTTTGTGGGAAGGGTTGTTCATGCCCATGACGGACGTTCATCGGTGCTTCCATAGATGCCTCCAGTCCTGACCGTGGAGCTCCTGAGCACCCTCTTCTCAAAACAGAGGAGACAGTGTCTCCACCTCCCAACCCAACAGAGCACCTACCCAACCCAACCCAACCCAACCGAGCAGCCAGCCAAGCCAACGGAGGCCCCAAATCCCGCTGCGCCCTGGACCTTATCCCACCTCAGGCCCAAGTGGCTCTTGCTTCTCCCTGGAAGCCAGAGGAGCAGCTTTGCTCTTTTCCTAGCTCCCGCTCTTCAGGGGAGCTTTTAGCCTTTTGCTTTCCAAGTTATTTCTGGAGCCATTCACCGGAGCCAGCTTGGTGACATTCGCCTAGTTTAAATGCCACCGCCAGCTCGCAGGAGAGCTTCGGAGTCGTCACCGGAGGGCTAGATTTCACTACTGCTGGGAAATTTAGGTCAAGGACAGCCGGACACGCTACCGTTCGGAGAAGTCCCCTGGGATCCTGGTTGTTTGCACAGAGCTTACACAACCGTGGGCTCCGGAGGGCTCCCCGGAGAGACCGACGCGCCGCCAAACTGGGCTGGATTCAATTATAGCTCCCTCGGAGCGGGGCAAAAAAAAGAAAGGAAAAAGGGATAAGGCCAACTAAATCCCTGGGGATTGAATTGTGCAAGTGCAGGCGAATGTGGCTCCCCAAGCTCCCGGCTGCCCATGCGCCCAGATCCGACCTGGCCTGTCTGCTCCTGACATTTGACAGCGATGCCAGGCCCGCGTTCCCGGCGCTCGGTTTCCAGGTTATGTTTCTTCCTTCGGCGAGCAGCTCTTCCTTTCTTAAATAAGAATCAGGCACACGCTGTCCCTCGGCCGCCAGCTCTGGGATTTTCTGCTTGTTAAAAGGGAAAAAAAAAAAAAATTCTAGGTTTTAATTTAGTTATTTTTGGTCTCTGGACCTAATTTTGGAGAGTGACACCTTGGTAGGACGAGTGAAGCCCTGAGCGAATTCACCGCGAGCGGGGGGAACTGCTGAGCTCAGCAGCCGAACCCGAGGAATCAGGTTCCCCCCGTCAAGCATCCGAAAACTGGGCCCCGGGCAACTTCCAAACAGCTGCAAGAGGCTCCGTGGAGCCCTCGGAGGGACCGCGGGAAGCTCCTCTTCGGCTCAGGTGCTTCAGGCTGGGCAAAGACACCTCGCGAGGAGCCGGGATTCTCTTCACTTGCTTTCTCCGTGGGGAGGAAGACCACGGAGCGCCCGTGGAGAGGAGAGGAGGAGTTACGGATGCTCTTGGTGGATCCAGGGAGCAAAACTCAGCCACAACACGGTCGGTCCAGGGCTGCAGCGCCCAACCAAAGTCCGGCCACCAAGAAGGGAGGAGAAGAGGGTTGCACAGACCCCTCTCGACACGGCGGGCATCAAATCCAGGAGGGTTTCTTGGCACGCACGAGGTGCCAGGAGGATCAGGGGGACAAGGGGATGCCCAAGGACTTTGGGGTGAGATGCAACGAAGCACAGGGGAGCCCTTCAGCCAAAAAGAGGGATGAAGGGGCACCGAGAGGGACAGACTAGGACTAGAAACCACACAGTCTGGAGAAGGGCAAGGAGCGCTCTCCGTTTTTCCAGCAGCAGGGAGCGCTTCCAAAGCGAGGGCTTTCCTAAGGGACTCCGTGCTGCAGGACGCCGCGGGCGCCGGCAGCTCCCAAGGGCCCAAATCCAGAGAAAGGAATCTGGGAAGGCGAGGAGCGCTCCACGCCGAGCCAAGGAAGGCACTGAACCGCAACTTGCCGGAGGCAGTGGGAAATCTGGGGAGGACATTGGGAGGCGCTCGGCCCGGACGCTTCTGCCGCCGCGGGAGCCCGGAGCCGGGAGCAGATGGAGCGTCGCGTAGCAGGTCGCGCAGCTCCGGCTGGCTGCTGCTCTCCACGGGGACGCGGCAGCGCCGGCGGAATTCCCTGTGGCATCTTGGAACGGGAGCCAGGCCGCACTCGCCCTTAAAAGAGGAAAATGAGCAGGACCGGCACCGGCTTTCTGGGTGAGGCTGGAAGGTGACGGCACCATGAACTCACCGGGAAAGCCCTAAGGGACTCGGAGAAGGGAACCGGTTTCACCGGTTTCTGCTCCGGGCTGTGCCGAGCAGGAGCAGCCGGGGAGACCGCGGGATTGCTGGGGACCACGGGGCCTCCGAGTCGACCCACGGCCACCAGCGCCCACCACGACACCCGCAGTGATCCACTCGCCCACCGGGACGGGACTGGAAGCGGCGAAATTCCGCCCGCTTCCCCAAGCCCTTGGGAGCAGGCGCCCGTGCCGCAACCACCCTGCAAGCACCTCGGAGCGGGGAGGAAAAAAAATCCCTGCATCCATCTGGGTGTGCGGCAAAGCCAAGCGGTTGCTAAGTGGAACGAGGCTGGCACGGGAGGCTCATGGAAAATCCCCAAAAGCCCCAAAAAGGGGGGTTTTGGAGGTCACCGGCAAGCACAGCCACCCCAGGCGCCAGCCCTCAAAGCAGCCCTGAACCCCGAGTTTGACCCGGGGGTGTCCAGGCCCCACTGCATCCTGCTCAAGTGGCAACGGCCACTTCCAAACACTCCCGATGGATAAAGGTGCCACCTGGCCTCCTTATCCTGCCTGGAATGCATCGGGACGTGGTATTCGGCCGCTCCCGTTCGGAGCCCTGGAAACTCTCCCGCTCCTGGCGCGCTGTGCAAAGGGAGGCAGCACAAACTGGGTCGGCGGGTGCTCCGCCACAGCCCGATCCGAGATGCCGTCCTACCAGGAAAAGCAGCCGGCAAAGCTCGGAGAAAGGCAGGAGCCGGAGCGGCAAGGCGCAGGGCCACTCGTGGGCTGCCGGGCGCTATTTTAACCACCCCGCAGCAAATATACGCGGGATGCGATCCAAGCGGGAAGGGGAGGGAGTGCTGCGGGAAGCGGAGGCGGTGGGAATTAGGCGCCGAGCTCAGGCAGCGATGGATTCAGGGAGCAGACTGTGGGGAAAAGGAGTCAGCTCGGCGCATCCCCATCGATTTAAAGGGTGAAGGACTCGGAGCCGCGTGCACAAAGAGGACTCGAGCTCTCCCGCTCCTTTCTCCGGCAAAACTGCCTCGCTTTTTGCTGCCCTCTCCCAGAGCAGCCCTGGAAAAGCTGCTCCCGCCTGGATGCGCTTGGCGAGAGGCTCCGCAACACGTGTCCCGGCACCCAGGAGCCGAGCGCGGCCCTGATGGGAGCTGGCAGATCTGGGATGCTACCTGCCCTACATTCCCGGCGCAGCGAGGTTGACAGAATGAGCGAGTTTTTATATAGATCCGGGCGACGGCGGTTCTCTGAGCGGGGGGAGAAGGGAAGGAGACGGAAAATATCGTTGTTTAATCTCCTTTCTGCATCCTCGCCGTGCATTCTCCACGCGCCCTCCCAAGCAGCCTGGTGGCTGTAGGTTTTGCTCGGAAAGGGATGTGCAGAATTAAGCAGACGGCTCAATTATTAATAGGCTGCAGGGGAGGGGGGCCTGGATGCTTCTTCCCATCGCCGGCACCTTTCGGGGGGCTCCGGTGCCCCCCAGAGGCACAGACACCAATTACAGCGCTTGGCTCAACCTGCTGGGCCTCCCTGCCCTACTTAGCTGCGGCAGAGCTGTCCTTTCCTTTCCTTCTCCTTTCCTGCACCAGCATCCAGAGAGGCGGGAAAGCTGGTCCCGAAAACACAGGGCCGCAAACCGCTCCCGAGCTCCAGCACGGCTCCAGCACACGGACACATCCTACCCTCTCCCACGCCCTCAGCTTCCCTTGCTCATCCCTCCTGTTTTCCTCCCCTTCCCATGGCTAAAGATCCCTCGCTCACTGCCACGCAGGACCCGGGGACTGCAACCTCTCCCTCTCGCTTCCTTTTGGGGTGGAAAACAGCCCGGCCGGAGCTGCGGCTCCGCAGGAACACGGCCAAAGAGAGCGGCCGGCTCCAGCAGGGCTTTTTTTGGCTCCCTGGACTCCGCGCTGGCGGGAGGCATCAGCCTGACAGCCCCGGGGATGATCCTTCTTGCGCAGGACAGCTCCGGCACAGGCAGCAAGAAGGCGGCTTTTCAGGGGGTTTCATTTTTGGCTTCTGGCTTATTTTTATCCCACTTGATACGTGTCAGACGGGTCGAGTGAAGCGCGAGGCCCTTCTGCCCTTTCCCATTTGCTCGAGTTACTTGGCAGGCGTTTCGCCCGCCGCGGCGGCCACTTCTCCCGCATCCAGAGCCTCCTTCCCGCTGCCGTCCTGCGTCGCTGCCTCTTGCACAGCCACAAACCCTGCCCAGGGCAGGACGGACACTTCTCCCGCATCCAGAGCCTGAAAGCGGGGACCAGAGGACCAAAGCACCCCCAAGGGCGGCAGACACCTCAAAACAGAGTGCTGTCACGCAGCCCCTAGGAGGGCTTGGGAACAAGGACGTGCTTTGAAAGCCAAAAGTGCTCAGGCCAGCCCGAGAGCAAGCGAGGCCAGGCAAAGCCATCCTGACACCCGGTTTCCGTGCACAAGGCTCAGGGGCCGGGATTTCCCGCTGATCCGGAGGGACCGCCAGCTCTACGGACCCGCTTGGAGCAGCCAGGCAGGGCAGTGGCCCCAGGACAAGGGGGGGACAAGCGGCTCCCCCCATCTCCCCGCTCCCCCCACCTGCCCCCCGCTGCCGGGGACCCCAAGGAAGGAGCACAGAGACCCTTACGTGGGCAGCTCCGCCGGCCGGGGGGGCTCCGCCGTGGAGGACGCGGGAGCAGCCGCCGGCTCCCGAGCGCCCGCAGCTCCCTCGGCACCCGCTGCCGGCCCGGGCGCCGCCGTCGGCTCCGTCTGCGCCTCGGGAGCCGCCTTCAGCCTTGCGGCCGCCGCCTCCTCCTCCTCCTCCTCCTCCTCCTTCTTCTTCAGCTTCGCCTCCAGCTCCTGGCGCCTCTTCTCGTCGTCCTGCCGGGCCATGCGCTCGAAGACTTTGAAGGCCTGGAAGGGATCAAACGGAGCACACTGTGAGGCCACCGAGCTCGGCCCGGCAGGAGGAGGACAGCAGCTTTGTCACATACGTGGGGCACGTGTCCCCACGGCTCCCTTTGCAGGCTCCGCGTACCCTTGCCAAGCCCTCGGTGCTCGAGCCAAAGCCAGCACCGATCGCTCCGACGGCCGCATGTCCCCAGTAAGAGCCTAGATGCCTTTGGAGAAAGCCCAAATTCCTAGAGATGGCACTGAAAGTGGGTTTTTTGGGGGGGAATGTCCCCACGGCCAAGGAAAGCCTGGGCCCAGCGGGTAGGGAGGGCGCTACCCACGCAGGCTCCCCGCTGCCCGCCAGGATTTCAGGCCCTGGCCCGGTGAGACCCGGAGCTTCGCGACCGCGCTCGACGCCTCGGCCGCGACGAAAACAACCCTGCGGCTGCTCCGCGAGCGGCGGCTCCGTCCAAAGGGCACAAATCCCAGCGGGAGAAGCGGCGAGGCCTCGGCTCGGCCTCACCCCACGCTGCGCCCGCGGCGCCTCGCCCGGCGCTCCCAAAGCGCCGCGGGGGCCCCGGCCACAGCCCCGGGCCGCGAGACACGGGGGCCCCGGGCACGGGGACAAGCGGGGCGCAGCCCCGAGCGCACGCGGCCCCCTCCCCGCACAGGCGGGCCGCTACCTGCAGCGCCATGGCCTGCGCGGCGCCGGGCGGGAAGCCCAGGCGGTCGCCGGGCCGCCGCAGCAGGCGGTAGAAGTCGGTCTTGCGGTAGAGGAAGCCGAAGAGCACGCGCAGGAACTCCTCCACGTTGCCCACGTGCTGCAGGATGCCGAGCAGCGCCTGGTCGTACATGTCGCTCAGCGCCGACGCGGCCTCCATGGCGGCCCGCGGCCTCCCGCCCCGCCGCTGTCACGGCAACCGCGCCGCTTCCGGTCCGCCCCCCCGGCGGCGCCCGCCGCGCTTCCGCCCGCCGGCCCGCCCGGAATGTGTTTCCCCCGCGCCCCGCGCGCGCGCGCCGCTGCCCTCCGTGTCCCTCCCACCCCGCGCGGGAAGGTTCCGAGGCCCGGCTGGGGCGTGGCCTCGTGACGTGGCGAGGCGGCGGGCGCCATGTTGGTTGAGGGCAGCCGGGCGGGGCGGCTTCCCCCGGATTTCCCCCCCCCCGACAAGGGCCCCCCCAGCCCCCCCGTTCCCCCTTTGCTCCTCAACGCGACCCCCCCAGTGTTTAAGGGGGACCTGAGCCCCCCTGGTGCCAGGGGACCCCCCTGCACCCCCAAAGCGACAAACAGTGGGGACCTGCAGCCCCCCCATGTTGTCAAGGGCCCCGGCCCCCCCCAGTGCCAGGGGGACCCCCCGTTTGCCCCCAGTGTTGTCAGGGGCCCCCCAGCCCCTCTAGCGCCAATGGGCCCCCCTGCGCCCCCAAAGTGCCCACGAGCAGGGACCCGCGGCCCCCCAAGAGCACCGAGGGCCCCCCGGGGCCAGCGCCGCCGCGGAAGCTCCCGGGGGCCGCACGGAGGCAGGGACGGACAGACGGACTGGGGGGCTTTATTGAGGGTACGGGGGAGGAGGGGACGGAGCCCGTGACACCGTGACGGTGACATTGTGACGGTGACACCGTGATGGTGACACGGTGCTGGTGACACCGTGACAGTGACACCGTAATGGTAACACGGTGCCAGTGCCGGTGCCGGTAACACCGTGCCAGTGATGGTGCCAGTGACACCGTGCCGGTGACACCGTGATGGTGACACAGTGCCAGTGACACTGTGTTGGCACTGGTGCCGGTGACACCGTGACAGTGACACCGTGATGGTGCCGGTGCTGGTCACACCATGAGAGTGACACCGTGCTGGTGACACCGTGACGGTGCCGGTGACGCCATGATGGTGACACCGTGCCGGTGACACCATGATGGTGAGACAGTGCCAGTGCCGGTGACACAGTGATGACGCCGGTGCCGGTGTCACTGTGATGGTGTCCGTGCTGGTCACACCATGACAGTGACACTGTGACGGTGACACCATGCCGGTGCCGGTGCCAGTGACACCATGATGGTGACACCATGATGGTGACACGGTGCCAGTGCCGGTGACACCGTGATAGTGCTGGTGCCGGTGATACTGTGCCAGTGACCCCGTGCCGGTGACACCATGGTGGCGCCGGTGCCGGTGACCCCGTGCCGGTGACCCCGTGCCGGCGCCGGTCACTTCTTGACCTTGCCCTGCGCGGCCACGGCCTCCATGGCCTTGCGCACGGTCTCCTCGTCGCCCAGGAACTGCATGGGCTTCACGGGCTTGAGCGCCGCGTCCAGCTCGTACACGATGGGGATGCCCGTGGGCAGGTTGAGCTCCATGATGGCCGCGTCCGACATCCCTGCGGCGCCGCGGGACACGTCAGGGCGGCCCCGTGTCCCCCCGTGTCCCCGGAGCGGGGAAACCCGAGCCGGGGCAGCGAAAGGGCGCGCGGGGCTGGAAATAGCCCTGACCTTCAGCGGGCGGGGGGAGCGCGGGGGGGACACCGAGGGGGGGACAGTGGTCGGGGGTGACCGCGGGTGGGGGGCGATGGGGGGGTGACACTGGGCGAGAGGGTGATGAGGGGGGTGGCAGCGGCCAAAGGGGGGTGACGGTGCTGATGGGGTGCCAGGGGGTGCCGCAGCAGGGGGGTGACAAGGGGGTGCCCGCAGGGGTTGGGGTGCTGGGGGTGCCCGTGGCAGGGGGGGGACCAGAGGGTGCCCGKGGGTTTTGGGGTGACCAGGGGGTGCCCACGGCAGGGGGGGGACATGGGGGTGCCCGCGGGTGTTGGGGTGCCAGGGCTGCCCATGGCAGGGGGGTGACCAGGGGGTGCCTGCGGGTTTTGGGGTGACCAGGGGGTGCCTGCAGGTGTTGGGGTGCCAGGGGGTGCCCGTGGGGGTGCCTGTCGGGGTGCCGGGGGTGCCCACAGCAGGGGGTGACAAGGGGGTGCCTGTGGGTGTTGGGGTGACGAGGGGGTGCCCACAGCAGGGGGGTGCCAGGGGTGCCCGCGGGTGTTGGGGTGCCGGGGCTGCCCATGGCAGGGGGGTGCCAGGGCTGCCCACGGGCGTTGGGGTGCCGGGGGTGCCCGCGGGTGTTGGGGTGCCGGGGGTGCGCGGCGGGGGCGCCCACCCTCGAGGTGCTTGACGATGCCGCGCAGGCTGTTGCCGTGCGCGGCGATGAGCACCCGCTTGCCCGCCTTGATCTGCGGCGCGATGTGCTCGTTCCAGAAGGGCAGCGCCCGCGCGATCGTGTCCTTGAGGCTCTCGCACGTGGGCAGCTCGCCGGGCTGCAGCCCCGCGTAGCGCCGGTCCTGGGGGGGGCACGGGGCTTGGGGGGCTGGCACCCCCCCCGCGGACATGGCGCGGCCCCCGTGTCCTCCACGTGTGCCGACCCCCCCGTGTCCACGTTCCCCAAGGTGCCCCCCGTTCCGTCATGTCCCACCATGTCCCCACCCTCCACATCCCCCTGTCCCCACGTTGCCCCTTCCCGCCCCCCAGTGCCCCTGCCGGTCCCCACTGCCCCATCCCCACGGCCCATGTCCCCTCCTCTGCCTCCCCGTTCCCCCCGTTCCCCCCGATTGCCCCCGGTCCCCACCCTGTGTCCCCATGGCGGGCAAGGGGGGCAGGCAGGGATAGGGGTGCAGCTCCCGGGGGACAGAGGCAGGACCAAGGGGCTCGGGGGGGCACAGGCAAGACTATGAGTGGGGGGGGTAAGGGGGCAGCAGCAGGTCTGGGGGGGCAGATCTGGGTGCAGCAGGGTTAGAAGCAAATCTGGGTGCAGGGGATTAGGATCAGGTCTAGGGGGCAGATCTGAGTGCAAGGGGGCAGGAGCAGGTCTGGGGGGGCAGATCTGGGTGCAGAGGGGTGCGTGGTGGGACCAGGGGTGCAGATCCAGGCACAGGGGGGTACAGGGTGCACGGGGGGGTATAAACAGGACCATGGGCACAGACCCGGGTACAGGGGGGTGCAGGGGCGAGAAGCAGGTCCGTGGCTGCAGACCTGGGTACAGGGCAGTGCAGGGGGGTACGAGTGGGTCCGTGGACACAGCTGTGGGTGCAGGGGGGTACAGGAGGGTGCAAGCAGGACCATGGGCACAGACCCTGGTGCAAAGGGTGCAGGGGGACAGAAGCAGGTCCGTGGCTGCAGACCCAGGTACAGAGGGGTGCAGGGGGGTACAAGCGGGTACAGGGGGGTACAAGCAGGACCCTGGGCACAGCCGAGGGTACAGGGGGGTACGGGGGGTACAACCAGGCCCATGGGCACAGCCGAGGGTACAGGGGGGGTACGGGGGGTACAAGCAGGCCCGTGGGCACAGCCGAGGGTACAGGGGGGTACCGGGGCTACAAGCAGGGCCCTGGGCGCAGCCGAGGGTGCCGGGGCGCCCACCTTGCTGATGACCTGGTGGAAGGGGTGCTTCTCGTCCATGGGCGGCGGCGGCACGTCGAAGGAGCGCCGCCACACCTTGACCTGCTCCTCGCCGTGCTGCGCCGCCGTCTGCGCCTTGTCGAGGCCCGTGAGGCCGCCGTAGTGGCGCTCGTTGAGGCGCCACGTGCGCACCACGGGCACCCACATCTGGTCGGTGCCGTCCAGGATGAGCCAGAGGGTGCGGATGGCGCGCTTGAGCACCGACGTGTAGCACACGTCGAAGGCCAGGCCGGCGGCGCGGATGGCGGCGGCGCCGCGCTCGGCCTCCTCGCGGCCGCGCGCGCTCAGCTCCGCGTCGAACCAGCCGCAGAAGCGGTTCTCCTGGTTCCAGGTGCTCTCGCCGTGCCGCACGAGCACCAGGCGGTGGTGCGCGGCGCACATGGCGCCGGTGCCCGTCCCCGCCGCCGGCACGCGCCGCCTGCACCGCCTGCGCCGCGCCGCTTTTATAGCGCCGGGAATCGGGATGCGGCCGCGGGGAGGGCGGCACCGGGGCCGGGACGGGAGCCAGCGGGGCGGGGAGGCGCCGGGATGGATGGGGGGACAGATGGACACGGTGACAGGTGGGCAGAGCTGGGGATGGACGGACGGATGGACAGGCGGATGGATGGGACAGATGGGCAGGAGGAGGGAGGGACTGATGGCAAAGGGACAGGTGGACAGAGGGGCGGATGGAGGGAGAGATGGATGGGTGGGTGGAGAGACGGATGGATGGACGGACGAGTGGATGGATGGGTGGATGGACGGACAGACAGACAAGGGGGTGGAAAGTGGGGTGGATGGATGCACAGGCTGGCAGGACAGGTGGGCAGAGGGGTGGATGGACAGGGGGATGGATGGACAGATAGATGGACGGACGGACGTGTGGGTGAGTGGGTGGACAGGCAGGGGGGTGGAAAGGGGGGTGGACAGACGGATGGGCTGGTGGGACAGGTGGGATGGACAGACAGATAGATGTGAGGATGGATGGACAGATGGATGGATGGGTGGACAAACTGAGAGCCAGGTGAGTGGACAGATGGACAGACAGGCCGGACAGACACAGGGACAGCTGAGCTAGGGGCCCATATGGGGGTGCCGGGAGCCCTCCCAGGGCAGAGGTGCTGCAAGGTGGGGACCCCCAGGCCCAGCCCCCCCAGACTGAGGCTACTGCCCCTCAACTGCACCCCCTCACCCTGGACCTCTGCCCCCCCCAAATCCAGCCCTGCAGCCTCCGCATCCCTCCCTGTCCCCTCCAGCGCTCCCAGCTGAAGGGTCCCAAATGCCACCTGGTGGCACTGGTTTAAGTGGCACCCAAGGTGGGGGGGGCTCCCCCTCCTGCCATGTGGGGCAGCAGGGGGGGTGGGGGGGTGTCAGCCCAGCCCCCCACCCCAAATGAGCCCGGAGACCCAGCCTGGACACTGGGGTCCAGGGGTCACCCCAGCCCTGTGGCGCCCCCCTGTGTCACCCCCGTGTCACTGCCGGCAAATCCCCCTCAGGGAGGAGCTGGGGGGTCACAAGGCCCACAACTCCTACCCTCTGGACACGTTCACTCTGAACCCTACTGAAGGCCTGGCCAGGGAAAACTCCGCTCTGTCCATGAACGGGCCACATGCCGCCCACTCACCCACTCGCACTAGGATCCATATGGAAACACGCCAACCTCCTGCCACCAGCCACTCACTCCAGCCCCAGGAAAAGCCTCCCGGAGAGGCCAGCGAGGCCTTGGGCCAACAACAGCTCCCACTAACCCCCGAGGAGGGAACAAGGACACGGGGAGGCGCTGCTGTGGTTTAACTCGTTTTTATTTAGACTCATCAACGTCAAACTCTGCAGTCCCGCTAGACCGTGAACGTGGGGGGACGCAACCCAATAGAAACGCAGCAGTTAAGTCAGGAGCACAAGGATTACAGGGGCCGCGCGAGCCCGGGCTACAGAAGGAATGGTTGGTCATTAAGACAACGGGTTTTCGTTTTCTCTGATTTTTTTTTCTTTACGAGAGCTGCCCACAGTCGGAAATGGTGATCTTCTTGCTCGTCTTGCCGTCTTTAGAGCCGCAGCGCTCCATGGCCTCCACCACGTTCATGCCCTCCTTGACGCGGCCGAAGACGACGTGCTTGCCATCCAACCTGTGGAGAAACGCACGGCACATGAGCCCCGAGTTCCCGCAATTCCATGGGGAAACGCGGGGCTCCCTACTCACCACTCGGTCTTGGCAGTGCAGATGAAGAACTGGGATCCGTTCGTGTTGGGGCCGGCGTTGGCCATGGACAAGATGCCGGGGCCCGTGTGCTTCAGGATGAAGTTCTCATCAGGGAACTTCTCCCCGTAGATGGACTTGCCGCCGGTTCCGTTGTGGCGCGTGAAGTCGCCGCCCTGCAAAGTGGCAGCGTTCCCAGTTTCCCCATGACCACCCAAGAACTCGGACATTTACGGATCCCACCTGCCTCGCACCCACTTACCTGGCACATGAACCCAGGAATGATTCTGTGGAAGCAGGATCCCTTGTAGCCAAATCCTTTCTCGCCAGTGCTCAGAGCACGGAAGTTTTCTGCGGATTCAGGAAAAAAAACCTGCTCATTTTGCCCCGGGGCTGGAACGCGAGACGCTACCAACAGTGATTTAAGGCCACTGCAGTGCGGTCTGTGCCATTTATGTATTTACCAACCTGCTGTCTTTGGGACCTTGTCTGCAAACAGCTGCAAAGAGAGAGAGAAGGAGTTAGCGGAATCGGGGTGCAGACTGGCTGCTAAATATCAGATAAAATAAATATTATACATTAAATATAGCGAGGAGCCGCTCAGCTCAAGGCTGCCGCCCCAACACACAAATCTTTGCTCTAAAGGCGACCAGCTCCCTAAATTTCACCATTTGGGGTCATTTGGGATCACTTTTGCTGCCCGGGTTGACTCTGCCCCGGAGGAATCACCTCCCGGAGGTGGGATGTGGCTGCCGGGTCCCGCGGCGGCCGCGTTCCCGCTCTTCCCACGGGATCTGCGGCCACGAGCCCCGCTCCGCGGTGCTGTCGCCACCTCCTGCTCTAATCCAGAGGCATCTGGAAACTCTGAGCTAATAAACGTGGCATCTAAACGAGCTCCAATGCGCCGCACGCGCCCAGCGCCGCGGGCTCGGCTTCCATCCCAACCTCCTCGGGCGCCGGGCTCCCGGGCGGGATCGGTTACCGCGGCGGGAATTCTGCGCATAGCCGGGCGTGAGCTCCTGGAGCGCCGCCGCGCCGGACGGACGTCCCGCGGGGCGCCAAATGCTTCCAAGGGGGAATCCGCGGGATCTCCGCGTGCCACGGATGCCGCGAGCGCCCCGGGGCCAAGCAGCCGCCCCGGGGCGCCCCTCGGCGGGTCCCCCTTGGAGGGGACGGCTTGGGGGGACGGTCCCTCGTGTGCGGGGACGCCGGGAGCTCCGCACGTTCCCGCTGGGAAGCGGGGCGGCAGCGCCGACAAAATGGCCGCTCCATCCAGGAAGGCCCCGGAAGGGGGGGGGGGGACGCGGAGCCCGCGGCGCCCCCGCGGGGCTCGAGGGCCCCGGGGCGGCGCCGGGAGGGAATCCCGGCGGGAATCCCGGCGGGAATGCGGGCGCGG